CCCCTAAATCTGACCACCCCCTCTCCTCCATCCCCCTTAATCTGACCACCCTCCCCACTGGGCTAGGATTGAACCAACATAGATCTGAGATACGTATTGGCTGGTGGCGACCCATGGGTCGTTTCCGTGGTGACCCGCGGGTCGTTTCCTGTTGTCCATAACTCGGGTCTCTCTTACAACGGCACGTGACCAAGGGGTAGTGAGAAGTTGAACCCAGTAGCCCCAATGTCCAGCATTAGACTGACCAATGTCCAGCATTAGACTGACCAATGTCCACTATTAGACTGACCAATGTCCAGCATTAGACTGACCAATGTCCAGCATTAGACTGACCAATGTCCAGCATTAGACTGACCAATGTCCAGTATTAGACTGACCAAGGGGTAGCGAGAAGTTGAACCCAGTAGCCCCAATGTCCAGCATTAGTCTGACCAAACTGGGTTCGAAGAATGACCACTCTAAATAACCTGAAGTGAAACTGCGCCAACCAAGTTGTAAACATAAAAACGGCGCCCCTCTAGCAATAAAACTAAAATGGCGCCCCTCTGGCAATAAACCTAAAACGGCGCCCCTCTAGCAATAAACCTAAAACGGCGCCCCTCTAGCTAGAAACCTTAAACAGCGCCCCCAGTAATAAACCTAAAACGGCGCCCCTCTAGTAAGAAACCTTAAACAACGCCCTGAGCAATAAATCTAAAACGGCGCCCCTCTAGCAATAAACCTAAAACGGCGCCCCTCTAGTAAGAAACCTTAAACAACGCCCTCAGTAATAAACCTAAAAGGGCGCCCCTCTAGCAGTAAACCTAAAAGGGAGCCCATCTAGCAATAAACCTTAAAGGGCGCCCCTCTAGCGATAAACCAAAAAGCGCGCCCCTCTAGCAATAAATCCAGTACGGCGCCCCACCACGCGGTAACACCCAGCAGCTTGTTTACCTGATCCAATTACTTTATTGATTGGCACACCGGGCCTATTTGCCGGCCAACACCAGCTTTAATTACATTAGCTGACATGGCCCGTACACCAGTCGGTGGCCAGGATCACGTCACGTGGCCACGTTCATTAGTCGGCCACGTCTTAATGTCACTCCCAAGCTGGTCATCTAATTAAGAAATATTTTGGCATCCCTGCGGCCTGCCTTTGTTTCTCTCCAGCCTAAAGAATGCCACAGATGGCCTAAGAAAAGGGCGAGAATCGTGTCTGATATTGGCCCTTGGGTGTGTGGAAATTTGAAGAAAAAATGGAACGTCTCAGATAGCAACCTCTCATAAGAATCTCTGGTTCACTCATTTCTTTTCCGACTGGGACAAATATAATGTGTGTCTTTGGAATCAGTTGGCCATTTTGTTAATAGAATCTGGTATCAGTTGGCCATTTTGTGGATCGTTTTGGTAATAGCTGTCCAACCTGTTCATTGAGGTTGGAATCAGTTGGCCACCTTGTTAATTATGTAATGAATCAGTGGGCCATTTTGTAAATCAAGTAATGAATCATTTGGCCATCTAATGGATCGTGGCAAGTATCATATGGCCAACGTTAATCATGGCTGCTATAAACTGAGCACGATGTTCTCACTGTTGAAGACGTGACATCCCAAGGAAGCCGCAGCTATGGTGAATGTCACCTGTCTTTGGGGATAGACTCACATACTTTTCACCAACATACAGGAGAGAGAGAGGGAGAGAGGGAGAGAGATAGGGAGAGAGAGAGGGAGAGAGGGAGAATGAGAGAGAGAGGGGGGAGAGAGGGAGAGAGGGAGAATGAGAGAGAGAGGGAGAGGGAGAATGAGAGAGAGAGAGAGGAAGAGAGAGAGGGAGAGAGGGGGACATAGGCTTGTCCTAGGAAACATTTCTCTAGTAATTTGCCTCAGTTAAATAGACGAAAAAACAGTTTTAAAAGAGAAAAATAAGTTAGATCCACCCGGACGATCCACCCGGAGAGATTAGATCCACCCGCCGGACTGTCCTGCAGTCCGGACTGCTTTCGTCTAACCGGACTGTGGGGACAGTCCAAGTTGAATACAAAGATGGATGTGGACAAGCCGGAGACCGTCCCCAGATCTTGGCCCAGCACAAGCGACATGTAAACCACGGAGTGGGTCTACCCTGGCAGTCTAGATAAACGAGTCCGAAGGATGAAGCTGCACACCCCCATAGAGCCGTTTGGAATGGACCAGTCCAAGATATGTACCGCGGCCACTGAGTTCACGAGATGAATTATTCACAAGCTCTCGCGGGGCAAGTGTGAGTTTACCATTTCACTGTCCGAGGGCGGTGGGGGCGTGGGGGAGGGGGGGGGGGTTGAAGGGGAGGGGAGGTGTAGGCATAGCCAGTAGAGGAGGGAGGGGTTGTTGGGCACGTGTGCTGGTGGATTTCTTGGACACGAGGGTTTGTAGGACATGGAAGTTTGTAGGACATGTGGGTTTGTAGGACATGGGGGTTTGTAGGACATGGAAGTTTGTAGGACATGGGGGTTTGTAGGACATGAGGGTTTGTAGGACATGGGGGTTTGTAGGACATGTGGGTTTGTAGGACATGGAAGTTTGTAGGACATGGGGGTTTGTAGGACATGGAAGTTTGTAGGACATGGAAGTTTGTAGGACATGGGGGTTTGTAGGACATGGGGGTTTGTAGGACATGGAAGTTTGTAGGACATGTGGGTTTGTAGGACATGGGGGTTTGTAGGACATGGAAGTTTGTAGGACATGGAAGTTTGTAGGACATGAGGGTTTGTAGGACATGGAAGTTTGTAGGACATGTGGGTTTGTAGGACATGGGGGTTTGTAGGACATGGGGGTTTGTAGGACATGGAAGTTTGTAGGACATGTGGGTTTGTAGGACATGGGGGTTTGTAGGACATGGGGGTTTGTAGGACATGGAAGTTTGTAGGACATGGGGGTTTGTAGGACATGGAAGTTTGTAGGACATGGGGGTTTGTAGGACATGGAAGTTTGTAGGACATGGGGGTTTGTAGGACATGGAAGTTTGTAGGACATGGAAGTTTGTAGGACATGTGGGTTTGTAGGACATGGGGGTTTGTAGGACATGGGGGTTTGTAGGACATGGAAGTTTGTAGGACATGGGGGTTTGTAGGACATGGAAGTTTGTAGGACATGGGGGTTTGTAGGACATGGAAGTTTGTAGGACATGGGGGTTTGTAGGACATGGAAGTTTGTAGGACATGGGGGTTTGTAGGACATGGAAGTTTGTAGGACATGGGGGTTTGTAGGACATGGAAGTTTGTAGGACATGGGGGTTTGTAGGACATGGAAGTTTGTAGGACATGGGGGTTTGTAGGACATGGAAGTTTGTAGGACATGGGGGTTTGTAGGACATGGAAGTTTGTAGGACATGTGGGTTTGTAGGACATGGGGGTTTGTAGGACATGGGGGTTTGTAGGACATGGAAGTTTGTAGGACATGGGGGTTTGTAGGACATGGAAGTTTGTAGGACATGGGGGTTTGTAGGACATGGAAGTTTGTAGGACATGGGGGTTTGTAGGACATGGAAGTTTGTAGGACATGGGGGTTTGTAGGACATGGAAGTTTGTAGGACATGGGGGTTTGTAGGACATGGAAGTTTGTAGGACATGGGGGTTTGTAGGACATGGAAGTTTGTAGGACATGTGGGTTTGTAGGACATGGGGGTTTGTAGGACATGGGGGTTTGTAGGACATGGAAGTTTGTAGGACATGGGGGTTTGTAGGACATGGAAGTTTGTAGGACATGGGGGTTTGTAGGACATGGAAGTTTGTAGGACATGGGGGTTTGTAGGACATGGAAGTTTGTAGGACATGGGGGTTTGTAGGACATGGAAGTTTGTAGGACATGGGGGTTTGTAGGACATGGAAGTTTGTAGGACATGGGGGTTTGTAGGACATGGAAGTTTGTAGGACATGGGGGTTTGTAGGACATGGAAGTTTGTAGGACATGGGGGTTTGTAGGACATGTGGGTTTGTAGGACATGGGGGTTTGTAGGACATGGGGGTTTGTAGGACATGTGGGTTTGTAGGACATGGGGGTTTGTAGGACATGGAAGTTTGTAGGACATGGGGGTTTGTAGGACATGTGGGTTTGTAGGACATGGGGGTTTGTAGGACATGGGGGTTTGTAGGACATGTGGGTTTGTAGGACATGGGGGTTTGTAGGACATCGGAGTTTGTAGGACATGGGGGTTTGTAGGACATGGGGGTTTGTAGGACGTGGGTTTGTAGGACATGGGGGTTTGTAGGACATCGGAGTTTGTAGGACATGGGGGTTTGTAGGACATGTGGGTTTGTAGGACATGTTTGGTGGCCCATTACAGACCTGTTCAAGTGGCCCATTACAGACATGTGGCCCATTACATACATGTGGTGGCCCATTACAGACATGTGGTGGCCCATTACAGACCTGTTCAAGTGGCCCATTACAGACATGTTCAAGTGGCCCATTAAACCTTTTCTTACATCCATGCCCTGATTGTTCCCCCTGCCGATCTGCTTAATGCTTGACTAATTGTTTCCATCAGCTGTTGTAGCAAGGGCGATAACCGCTATCTTGTAAGCGCCTTACATTTTTAACCCAATCCCTAAACAAAAACAGCGAGATTTCATGCCGAGATGAGATTACTGGGAAACAAATTGCTGCATCATCCAACCAATCAGATCGTCCCGTATGAGTAGTGTGGAAACACGTGACAGTGTGAACAATACTCATCCTTGGTCACAGTTGGCTTCTGAGGACCGGCTTCTGACTTCCCCATATAAAACTAGAGGTTGGCATTAAAATGTGCTCTCCACTAACCGTAAGTCCATAGGGTGATACATTCTTGCCGGTTTATAAAATGCCGGCAAGAATCTATCACAACCGGCAACAAAACCAAAATTAGCATTACACCATGAACAACTCTAAGACACCCAGCTCTGTTATATCAACCGGCTTTACGACAACCGGTTTCTACAACCTCTGTGAAAGCAACCGGCTGTGAAAACCGGCCAATAAGAACAAGCTAACATAACTTACCCTCGGTGACAAACCGGACGACGACCGGCTTCTCGCTGCCGGCGACGAAACCAAAGCCTTTGTCCGGGTCCCTGACCAGCTGGACCTCTCGCGGCGCTGGCGGCTCCACATAGTCCGGGTCTTGGCGAGGGTCCTCGCGGGTCGTGTACTTGTCCACATGGCTGGGGACAGAGACAAGATCAACTGATCAGATACAGGGCAGTGTTACAGGTTTTTACACATGGCTGGAGACAGAGACATGAGCAATTACAGGGCAGTGGTACAGGTTTTATAACGGCTATATGACAGGGTCACGAGTTTTTACACCAGCAATTCGAACATTGCCACAAGATATCAAACCAGCAGTTGGGGAAAGAGTCAAAACATTTCCATATTAGTCAGCAACAGATTTGATTGGTCGATACTTAATCAGTCAAGTTTTGTGCCCTAACACTGTCTATCGATTAAATCTATCACGACTTTGTTGTAAATTTAGTTCAATATTTGCTACAACTACACAGTAACTAAAACCAAAGTTTTGATAATTAAAAAAAAACACAACAACAAAAAACTTGACAATATTTATCGTGGAGAACTCCCATCAAATTCCTCACTGCAAACAACCGCACTAAAGTTTGTGTGAACTTTAAACAAATTGGAGCTAATCCTTAGATGATCCACACTTTAAGGGTGCCACACCGCCTCAAACTAATCCATAAATAGCAGCTAAACGTTCACATGTGCGGCTAGAAAATTCTCCCATAATCATATTAGACAAATAAGCCTCCCCCTCCCCCCTTTAGATCAGCGACTACTTGCTCTGTGTAGAAAAAGTCCATCAAAGACCAAAACATTTACGGCCGCTATTTAATGAACAAACCACAAACTTGTCAAATTACTGGAGCTCGCATCAAATGAACATTTTACCCAGCACAAACCATTAATTGCTTTTTGATGAAGAATTAAAATGGCACTTTCTTCTACGTGATGGGTCTGTGTGTTTGTGGCGAACGTTGATACATCCCGAGCAAGCCTACGTACACCATATATAGGGGCCCACTAACAAGCCTACGTACACCATATATAGGGGCCCACTAACAAGCCTACGTACACCATATATAGGGCCCACTAACAAACCTATGTACTACATATCTGGGGCCCACCAACAAGCCTACGTACTACATATCTGGGGGCCCACTAACAAGCCTACGTACTACATATCTGGGGCCCACTAACAAACCTATGTACTACATATCTGGGGCCCACTAACAAGCCTACATACTACATATCTGGGGGCCCACCAACAAGCCTACGTACTACATATCTGGGGCCCACTAACAAGCCTACATACTACATATCTGGGGGCCCACCAACAAGCCTACGTACTACATATCTGGGGCCCACTAACAAACCTATGTACTACATATCTGGGGCCCACTAACAAGCCTACATACTACATATCTGGGGGCCCACCAACAAGCCTACGTACTACATATCTGGGGCCCACTAACAAACCTATGTACTACATATCTGGGGCCCACTAACAAGCCTACATACTACATATCTGGGGGCCCACCAACAAGCCTACGTACTACATATCTGGGGCCCACTAACAAACCTATGTACTACATATCTGGGGGCCCACTAACAAACCTATGTACTACATATCTGGGGCCCACTAACAAGCCTACGTACACCATATATAGGGGCCCACTAACAAGCCTACGTACACCATATATAGGGCCCACTAACAAACCTATGTACTACATATCTGGGGCCCACCAACAAGCCTACGTACTACATATCTGGGGGCCCACTAACAAGCCTACGTACTACATATCTGGGGCCCACTAACAAACCTATGTACTACATATCTGGGGCCCACTAACAAGCTTACATACTACATATCTGGGGGCCCACCAACAAGCCTACGTACTACATATCTGGGGCCCACTAACAAACCTATGTACTACATATCTGGGGGCCCACTAACAAGCCTACATACTACATATCTGGGGCCCATCAACAAGCCTACATACTAAATATCTGGGGCCCACTAACAAACCTATGTACTACATATCTGGGGCCCACTAACAAGCCTACGTACTACATATCTGGGGCCCACTAACAAGCCTACGTACTACATATCTGGGGCCCACTAACAAACCTATGTACCACATATCTGGGGCCCACCAACAAGCCTACGTACCACATATCTGGGGCCCACCAACAAGCCTACGTACTACATATCTGGGGCCCACCAACAAGCCTACGTACTACATATCTGGGGGCCCACTAACAAGCCTACGTACTACATATCTGGGGCCCACTAACAAGCCTACGTACTACATACCTGGGGACCCACTAACAAGCCTACGTACTACATATCTGGGGCCCACTAACAAGCCTACGTACTACATATCTGGGGCCCACTAACAAGCTTACATACTACATATCTGGGGCCCACTAACAAGCCTACGTACTACATATCTGGGGCCCACTAACAAGCCTACGTACTACATATCTGGGGCCCACTAACAAACCTATGTACCACATATCTGGGGGCCCACTAACAAGCCTACGTACTACATATCTGGGGCCCACTAACAAGCCTACGTACTACATATCTGGGGCCCACCAACAAGCCCACATGCTACAGTGTAGCCCATCTTGTCTACCAACAGAAGGTGTTATAAAACCCACAGCGTGAAGGCACGAGTCGTTACCTCCCCCCCCCCCCTCTACAGCATGCATCACTTAGAAAAAAAACAAGCGAGGGTAGAAAAACACAGGTGAGACGCCTCTAATTAATTGTCGTTTAATTACCTCCACGGAAGTTATGGCATAACCGTAAGGTGCAGGGCTGAAGTTTTCTATCATATGTTGTTTGCATGGGTTTTTGTCATGTAATTATTATGGGTTTATGTCATCTGTTGTTTGCAGGGGTTTTTGTCATAGGTTTTTTGCACGGAATTTTGTCATAGGTTTTTTGCACGGAATTTTGTCATAGGTTTTTTGCATGGGTTTTTGTCATAGGGGTCATCCATAAATGACGTCACGCTTTTTTGGACGATTTTACCTCCCCCCCTCCCCTCCGTCACACGTCGTCACAAAAAGTCAGACCCCCCCTAAAATGACGTCACACCTCAACGTACAACCCCCTCAAAATTGCAGTTGAATTTTTTTTAAACATCGATATTTTTCTAAAATCTTGTCTAAACTATTACAATTTATTAAAACAGTTATCTAAAACGCGAAATAACGTCTAAAATTCGTTTTCTAACATTGCTTTTTTATAATGTGATGTCGCAACATCTGACCCCCCCCCCCCCCCCTCCCCCTCATCAAACATCGTCACAAAATTACGGACACCCCCTCCCCCTACGAGTGTGACGTCATTTATGGATGACCCCATATGTTTGTAAGGGTTTTTGTGCAAGGTTTAGTGACGTGATGTAACATCAAGTTTTTGTCTAGAGGAGATGAAGGGGAAATAAGCGTGTCGAGCAGGAGAGATAAGTCTATTAGACGCAGGTGAGAGAAATGTTGACAAAGATAATAAATGTAGAATACACCAAGTCATGATTCTTACTGCTAGCTTTAGAGTTGTTATTTTTTTACTATATGACGAGACTCAACAACTGTTTGCACAGATGAGAATCTCGTGGATGTTTTTACATCTACGTTATCTAGGCTAGGTCTCTCAGCTAAAGGTAATGGTGTCATCAGGCTAAATCAGGCTATCAAACATATTGATAAATGGGAGGGACCATAGAGGGATGGGAGGGGCCATAGGGGAATGGGAGGGACCATTTGGATGGGAGTGACGATAGGGGAATGGGAGTGACCATAGGGGAATGGGAGGGACCAGAGAGGAATGGGAGGGACCTTAGGGGAATGGGAGGGACCAGAGAGGGATGGGAGGGGCCATAGGGGAATGGGAGGGACTATAGAGGGATGGGAGGGACGATAGGGGAATGGGAGGGACCATAGGGGAATGGGAGGGACGATAGGGGAATGGGAGGGACCTTAGGGGAATGGGAGGGACCATAGGGGAATGGGAGGGACGATAGGGGAATGGGAGTGACCATAGGGGAATGGGAGGGACCAGAGAGGAATGGGAGGGACCTTAGGGGAATGGGAGGGACCAGAGAGGGATGGGAGGGGCCATAGGGGAATGGGAGGGACTATAGAGGGATGGGAGGGACGATAGGGGAATGGGAGGGACCTTAGGGGAATGGGAGGGACCATAGGGGAATGGGAGGGACGATAGGGGAATGGGAGGGACCAGAGAGGGATGGGAGGGGCCATAGGGGAATGGGAGGAACTATAGAGGGATGGGAGGGACGATGGGGGAATGGGAGGGACCATAGGGGAATGGGAGGGACGATAGGGGAATGGGAGGGACCATAGGGGAATGGGAGGGACCATAGGGGAATGGGAGGGACCATAGGGGAATGGGAGGGACCATAGAGGAATAAGAGGGACCATAAGGGAATGGGATAGAAGAGAAGGATGGGAGGGAAGAAATTAATAATGGAAGTGAATATAATGTGATGGGACGGACAACAAAGCGAGTGACGGTACAGCAGACAGACACTATACAGAGTACAAAGGAACAAAAACCAAACGGCAACACGAAGCGCAGTACACTCCGGCAAGCCAAATCTTCTATCTCATGTCCTCTGGGGACGTCATGTAATTAAACCACCGAATTAATTAATATTTCAGCTCCAAAAGTTGATTACCGTCAAATAGGTTTGAGCTTTTTACCTGTGATTTATGAGAATATTAACAGCGCGCGGACGAGCCGGGAATTATCTGCCCTTAGAACCGGACCAGTCGGGCGACAGATCTGCCGAGTGTAGCAGACACAAGACAATAGAACGTTATTTGCCGGCACCGTGCCAGTGTTTACACGAGTGGTGCTGTCATTCATCATCAGGTACACGAGGGGCGTCACACAGCTGGTACACGAGGGGCATTACAGGGGCGTCACACAGCAGGTACATGAGGGGCATTACAGGGGCGTCACTCAACAGTAGACAAGGGGCGTCACACCGCAGGTACACCAGGGGCGTCAGTCAGCGAGTACATGAGGGGCGTCACACAGCGGGTACACGAGGGGCGTCACAGGGGCGTCACACAGCAGGTACAGGAGGGGCGTCAAACAGCGGATACA